TTTTAACCAACGATAGGAAATACTCATAGATAAAAAACTGTTCAAGTACAGACTGATGCTACCAACTGGTAGAAATAAACTGGGAGAACCACTACGCAGAGTGGTCTACAAGACAACCAAACCGGAGATACCAAGCCGACATAACTGCCTGAACCAAGGCACTACAATAACAACCCTACAACTAGCACAGGAAATCAGCAAACAGAACAAACTAAAATAAACAACTAGCAACCTGACCAAAGAACTCCAAAGAGCAGAACAAACCAAAAACAAAAAAACCACAAAGCACCTACCTACCCAAGCAAACACAGCAACAGAAAACAAAAAAGAAAATGAGAAGAACAGAACAACAACAACATCAACTCCAAAGAACAGAGCTAGGGCAGACTTCACTTGGCAGCAACATGGCAAAACTCCTGCCATTCCAGAACTGCTCTTTTGACAATCACAGTCTCAGGAAGGCTTTCAGAGTTGAATATCCAAAGGTTTCGAGATCGCCACAGCCACCACAAGATGTATGTTGATAACTGGATTCTAGCTTCAGAAATGTCAGACTTATCTAAGCTACAAACCTGCCACCACCATGATCTGAAGTTAGTGTCTGGAAGAGAGTGATCCCAGGACACAGGGGCAATTTTCCAAACCAACTTATCTTTAGGACACTGCAGAAATAAATGTTGAGTAGTTTTTTCAGCTTCCCCACAGACTTTACACCTAACATCAATATCCATCCCCTTCTTAATCAAGTTCACATTCACTGGAAGAATGCCAGTAAAACACTTCCAAATAAAGTGTTTTATTTTCCCCAGCACTCTCAGTTTCCAGCTCCTATTTCTAACCAAAGCATCCATTTTTCAAGACTTACTCCCTTCAGCAATGTCAAGACTCTGAATTTTTTCATTCAGCAGATAGGAGTAAGAATCAGAAACAGAGAAATTCCCTTTCATATTTACCTTCCACTTCCACACATCATCTCTATCTGCAAAAGTGTCAATTTGCAGAATAGCAGCACTGTCAGAAGCAGAGAATAGGCTTCTAACCAGTGCCTCATTCCAGTGCCTTTTTGTAACATCCATGAGATCAGCAACCCATACAAGAGAGGGTGGAGGAGTGATTAGGAACTTAGGAGGCAGTCCCTTGAGGAGAGGAACCCAGCCACCATCCTGAATCTTAGTATTCAGTCCAGATCTCACTTCTTTCATACAGTTCAGAATAAAGGTAGGAAGCACAGTGAGCCAATTGATCCACAACCATGAAGAAGAGGAGTTCTTTACAGCTTCAAAAATAGAGGTATTGGGGAAATATTTGCTTTTGAGAATTTGACTCACCAGGAGATTAGGCTGAGTGGTAATTCTCCACAGTTGTTTGAGAATTAGAGCCTCATTGAAAATTCTTATATCCTGGAAGCCCAACCCCCCTTTCTGTTTTGGAAATGATAGAAAGTTCCAGCTTCTCCAATGAATTCCTCTGTCTTGAGCTTCTCCCATACTCCACCAAAAATGGGCAGTGAGTTTAGAGATTTCTTTGCAGATTCCAACTGGTAGTTTGAAAGTGGAATGGCAAAGACTGGGAGAGAGTTGACCACAGCCTTAATTAAGACTTCTTTTCCTGCTGTAGATAAAAATCTATTTCTCCAACTGACCAATCTCTGTCTCACTGTCTGGACAACAAATTCAAAGGCTTCTTTTTTTGACTTCCCAATTCCAAGAGGGAGCCCAAGATATCTGGTAGAGGAATCGGCTGAGATACCAGCAAGCATTGCACATACTTCATTTTTCATAGAGAGATCTATGTTTTTGCTAAAGAAGACAGTGGACTTGGACAGATTCACCTTTTGGCCAGAGAAAGCTTCATAAGTGGCAAGCAGGTCCTTCAGGAGCATAGCTTGGCCAATATCTGCCTTACAGAATATAAGTGAATCATCAGCGAATAACAGGTGTGTAAGCAAAGGCCCATTTTTAGACAATACTCCTCTGAATATACCACTAGAAGCTGCAGAACTAATCAAAGTAGATAGGGCTTCAGAAATAATAAGGAAGAGGTAAGGGGCAATAGGGTCCCCTTGCCTCAAACCTCTAGAAGCGTGTACCAGGCCCACAGCTTCACCACTCAGCATGAAGGAAAATGAAGTAGAGGTCACACAGTACATGATCCAATTCACAAAGGGAACAACAAACCCCATTTTAATCATCAGAGATCTCAGACAATGCCATTCAACACGGTCATAGGCTTTCATCATGTCAAGCTTAACTGCCATAAAGCAATGTTTACCAGATCTGTGCCTATTCAAATAGTGGAATCCTTCATGGGCAATAATAATATTATCCAGTAACTGCCTCCCTAGGATAAAGGCACCCTGATTTTCACTAATGCAAGCATGAAGACAGGATTTAAGCCTAGATGCAAGAATTTTAGAGATAAGTTTATACACCACAATGCACGGACTAATGGGTCTGTAATGATTCAGGGAAGTAGGATGCGCACATTTAGGGATCAAAGATACAATGGTATGATTCCAATATTTAAGAAAGATACCAGAAAGGAAGAAACTCTTGTCAGCCCCACACAAGTCTTTATGAATCACAGGCCAGAAATGCTGGTAGAATAAGGCTGTCATACCTTCCTCCCCTGGGGCTTTCAGGGGATTCATCATGAATAGAGTAGACTTGATTTTCTCATCATCCACTTCAGTTGTTAAAGCTTCATTCATCTCAGGAGTAATCGATTGTGGAATGAGGTTGAGGATTCTGTCTTCCCCAGAGGAACCACCAGAAGTGAAAAGCTTTTTGTAGTAAAAAGAAATATGGGACTCATAGATGCTCAGAACAAGTTGAAACCTCATCACTTAACCTTATTTTTTTTTTCTTTTTTTTTTTTATTTGGAGAGTGACTTTTTTCCGAACAAGAACGAATCGAAGGGACAACATTCTATAGGTTTAAACATTGGAGGTCATCCAAGTGTCCTACAGTATTTTCCCAATGCTCATTACCCGTCAACGTGAATCGACTAGTAAGAGGAGCAGAATCCATTCGAATCGTCTTGTGAGCTCTCATGTTTTTTTTTTACTTGTCAAGCAAACAAAATGCAACTTAATATCCACCATATTCAGAAATGCCACCAATCCCCCAATCATCACACAAATCAGTCAATAAGTTGACAAGAAAAGGGTTTAAGCTCAAGGGGCTACTAGTGGAATAAATTTTAGGACCAAAGAACAAGGCAGAAAGAGAGCTAATCAACAAAACGCCTCAATCATTTTTACAATTTTAAACTCTAATCATTTCCTTTCAAACAAACTCAAGGCAAGTTCTAATCATTCATGAAAACGACCAATATCTCACAAGAAGAAAAAGAAGGGCTCAAAACCTCACAAGGCAGATAAATGTCACTCAAAGCAATCAAGAAAATACCGAGGCAATGACAAACACGTTCGTTATCACAACTTCCCAATTTCATCAAACATTCATCAACACAACTTATAATCCACCAATATCATGCTCGACAAAACAAAAACCTAAAGCTAGACCGGTCCACCATATAATCATGCAAAATCCGAATAGACTCCCCCACACTTAAAATGATGCAATGCCCTCATTGCTTCAATACAAAACAGGAAGTCAAATAATAGGACCTAACAATTTCATACAGCAAACCAAAACCAGCAACTACCACAAGCATACAAAACAAAAAAGAAAGGCGAAAGAAAAAGAACTCAAAAAGAGAAAAGGAAAAGGGTGTGCAAACCGAAACGCCTGGAGGAGAATAAACATTCACGCGCAAGTCGCTCCCCTATGCTTAGCCCCAGAGCCTCGATAGTACTCATTCAACACAATCCTCATGCATCGTAATCTCGTACCTGCCAAGAAAAACACAAAACTCCAAAACTCCTATTATTCAAAGAATAAAACTAAAAAGCATAAGAAAAAATATCTACGAAAGCAGTAAATCACTTGGGTTGCCTCCCAAGAAGCGCTTGTTTAACGTCATTAGCTTGACGAAACCTGTAGGGAACTCAACCGGGATCTAGGAAGAAGTGACGGTCGTGCCACGCCTTCGTATTTTCGAGAAGTGGTAGTCCGGGCAGTGTGGCTAGAAGGCGGGCATAGTGGATCCGGATGGTGATGTTTGGGATAAAGAGGTCTCGGGTACGAACAATCCCCAACTCTAGACGTAGAGCTTTTCCCACCCAAGCTCTACCGTCAACCTCCAAAAATATAAGATCATCTGTGGAGCAAGTCGAACTGAATGCTCCCCACTTCGTATCACAGTGTAAAGGCCTCGAAGATGGATGCTCCAACTCGGAGGTGAGAGGAGAGACTTGAGAGTCAAGCCCGTGGATCTTCTCCTCTGAAATAGAATTAATGTCTCGCTCGAGCTCATCATCTTCTTCTTCGGCCTCACACATTTGCTTCATTGTACGGGCTTGAGTATCAAGCATGAGGTGGGGGTCGTCGACTTGTGCCTCGATTGAGTCGGTATGTACTGTAAGGATCTCTATCTGCGTGCTCAGTCGAGCACATCCGAGCTCAATCTCCACATCTCGAGTGGTCAAGGCAGATATGCGAGCAAGAACGAGGTCGAGTTTTTCATCACATGTCAAAGCGGCCTCCCGAGGCTCATCCATATGTGTAGATTCGCCATGAACGTTGGGCTCGGGAGAGAAATTGGTAGCTCGATCCTCTAGGGCTTGCACGCGCTCCACAAGTTCCTCGATTTGGGACTCAAGGTTGCTCTTACGGGCCGCTTGGGATGCAAAGAGAGTGAGGACCTGGTCGAGCTTGGCATTGTACTCTGAGGAATCCTCGAGGGACTCACATGGTTTCTCAACAGGTATTGAATCCCATTGTTGCTCGTAAGGATATGACCAAGTCTGGCCATAGTCCCAAGAATCGTAGAATGGAGGTGGTTGGTTCAATTGGGCACACCGGGTTGTTGTCTCTTCTTCCTAAGCTAACCGGGATATTGCGAAATCATAGATACGGTCAAGCTTCTCGTTGAACGCATGGGACTCATAATATTGCTCGACCGGGAGAGGGTCCCAGTACTGCTCGGAAGAGTAGGGATAAGACTGGACGTGGTACCCGGTGTGGTAGCTTGGTTCGTGGACCCAAGATTGGGTGTGCAAATAGGGGAGCACACGGTTGTAGCTCATACTACCTGCACACCAAAGCAGAACAACCACGCGTAGCCACGAAAAGACAAGAAAAAGAAAACAGAAACAAGAAAGACAAAAAGAAAAACAAATATGCACAAAAGAGAGAACAAAAATACGAAAATCAACAAAATAAGAGAAACACGGAAAATAAAATCAATACCAAGGCCAAATATCCTACTTGCCTTCCCTGGCAACGGTGCCAAATTTGTTTTGTACAAATTATTCTTTTTACCGAGTACCGAATCGAAAGATTCGTTTTCCAGGTCGATCTCACGAGGAAGGCGGTTCGGAACTTAGCTTTGGCATTGATAACACATGAAAAGAAAATAAATCCTAAACACTCTAATCAAATAAAGATTGGATGAATTATAAGCTACGAAATAAATAACAATGCAAAAATGTAAATCTATCTAAGAATATGAATGAAAC